GACTTTTTGCTAGCGTAAAAGATCACCGATTCGATAAAATGCCGAGTATTGTCAATCGCATTACTGCGGGATTCACGGCAACGATTCCATTTCGTAGCTCATATCTCCAGACGGAGACTACGATTCCGTCGTATCCGGGCAAGTATACATAAATCGCGACGTTGGCAAGCTGATGTTTACTCTACTCCGTGTTTCCGCAACGTGGAATCTCTGAAAACCCCTTACGAGCATTAAACTTTGGCGCCGAGACGAGGGATTTAAGCGGTTCTTTATTTTCAGGATCTGTTAACTCTCCGCTAACCGCCACGGGGCGAACCTACCCCGGGGAGTTCTATATATGCGCGACAGAAAAGTGAAATCGCGTCGAGATACTGCTCTAACGTGACGCTGCAAAAACTAACTGAATATGCAATTCGCCGCTTTTATTTTCGTCCCGTTACCGGCCACGGTCGTGCTTTAATACATGCGAATTTATGATAACCGCGCAATAACTTCATCATAAGCGGATTTCACGCGTCGAAGGAATCGCTTCCGCTTGCATAATTTCGATTAACTTTCGTCTTATTTTATTTGCTTATCAAAATGGTCAGTATTATATCGATCAGCGGCATCTATTCGTATGATAATCCTGTACGGAGCAGGAATTTATTGTGTAGAGAAAAACTTTGTGCATTTTGTGTACGCAACTTATAAATAGAATGAGAAACAGAAAGCATGAAGCGAGAAAGTTGTAACACAAACAGACTATTGAGGGGTTGTAAAAATTGGTGGTGAAATATTAGTCAATTTATACTAAAAAATAAATTCTGCAGGAAACTTTTTCGCATGTTTCGTCAACTCGATGTAGAAAAAAAAGGAAATTCCATTAGTTTTTGCCATTAATGAAATATCACGCGGTAAATGGCTAAATGTGTTAAAAGACTTAACATTATATTGGAAATCCATACGAGGATCTACTCCAGGGCATTTAGCGTGATCGTGATTGATTGCAATTAAATATTGAGGCTAAGGCAAATAGATCGATTTTCACGACGCAATATATCTGCATATATCTAATAATAGTCGATTATTATATGATAAATATGTTTAGAACCACAATAATAATTCCTTTCTCAAAAACACGTATGCTGAATTCATTTCAACATTAAAACAATAATAAAATAAATGTTATGAAAGAAAACAAAAAAGTATGAAATTAAAAAAAAAATTTTTTTGGCAACAATATTGAGAAATAGATAAACATTGTCTATATTTTTGGCAACTGCAATAACTCACCTGTTTAACTCACCTGTATTTGATTTAACCCACGGCGGGATATAAAGAGGTCGATGTGTATCGATTTCATGTTAAACTACTCTGCAGATTTTATTCGATTTCTCATATTATGACGTTTGTATAAATAATAAATAGTGTTAGAGAAATAAAATAATGAATCGTGATATACAGTATTATAATCAGTCATCAAGATAGTAATTATAATACTGTATATCACGATTCATTATTTTATTTCTCTTTTTATAATTCAAACACGTACGTTAAATTAAATGTTATGCCAATTGTGGTGAATACTTAACTTCGAATTGAATTTAAAAATATAAAAAAGAAGATAAGAATTCAATGATAGTGTCACAAGTGCAAGAAATGTCTGATTGCAATTTTGAGTACAAGAGACACTCAGTTTTATAATTCAATACCAGTCGCGAACGCAAAGTTAGTAGTTGCACGGTCGTGTTGCGTCGAGTTAGTAGTTTGCGAAGTCTATGCGATTTCTCTCAGACGTTTCGGACGAATGGGAATGTCGTGGGAGTTTTCATGTCGATTTGTTTGCGGTATAACAGAATGATGACTTTAGCTCACGATATAAACATGTAATAAAATCAATAGTTGTCTAAGAATATTAATATTATTCAAACAATTTTATTCAAAAATTTATTTTACAAACAAAAACTTTGAAACAATGTTTGAATACAAGTAACATAATTGGTTGAATCACGAGGAAAGGAAGATATAATGGAGTCGATGCTATTATAAGTGTGTATTTGTAATTAACTAAATTACATTATTATCAAGGAGTATACATAAATTAAAAATAAGCAAACGTTTTGATTAACAAATTTTGGTCTTCCTCAATGTTCATGTGATAACAAAAAAAAAAAGACAAATTTACAGAGCAATCATGATAACCGCTCTAACTAGATTAGTGTTACGAAAATCGAAAAAAAGCGCATCTTCGTCTATTTATGTGTTGTTGTTTTCAACATAATGCGGATATTAAAGGTAAATGATCCGAAAATTGTAAAGTTTTAATTTGAATGTAGACAGAGAGCAAATTATAGATACAGCTAACTGTAATAGTTATAAAAACGAAACGTAACGTCGTAATTAATATAATGAAGCAGACAAAGTAATTGTTATATATTAAAGGAGGAGAAACTTTCGCAAACTTATCATACTAATAAGTCGACCGTAACTTAAACAAGTCACAGACATAATTATTGTTGTTATTCAATTATGAGAAATTAAATCACGCTGACAGACTGTGGTCATATGGTCGGACAGTTCAAACAAAAGTGATGATAATTGTTTGTCACCACAGCAAGACTAATCTACATAAAGGTCAAGAATGAGATTCAAATTAAATAACATTAAAAGTGACGTTCAAATTTAAAAGTAAGTACATTGCAGTTTATATATTATGCCAATTACAAAATTTTTAATTGGAATTATAATTGTACGCATTAAATGACCGATTAAATTCAAACTTAAATTACCTACAAATTAAAATTAAATTAAAATTGAAATTTAGAGATTATAAATTATAAATTAAAATGAAGAAGCATCACAATTCTTTAAGATTATTAATTAAATTATTATATAAAAAATTTAAAAGTTTACAGTCGTTTTACAAGTTGAGACCTTGGGATTATTTACACACTAACCTAGTTAGAACATTTATATGATCATTCTGTAAAGTTTTTTTTGTTGTTACATGAATAAAATCAAAGACTGAAGAAAACTGATGGTCTCAAAACGTTTGTTTAATCTTAACTTATGTACACTCCTTATTAATAAATAATTTGATTAATTACAAATACGTACTTATAACGGCGACGGCTTTTTTTCCTCGAATTTGTTATCACATTACTGACCTTTTATTACTTATAATAATTTGCTGAGTCACATGAAAAATGAAGGAAAGAATAACTACAAAAATAGCTTATCTTTGATGACAAATATAAATAAAATCGTGATAGATATACTGTGGTACATTATACCTGCATTCAATTCCCTTTGCGCACTTTTTATGACATATACGATTAACTTTGTTTATGAACATTGGAAAAGGTAGTATTTCGCTGAAATAGAGAGAGACTTTATAAATGCATATTGCAATTAAACAATTATTACGACAGTGTTAATGAATAGAATTTCCATTTCCGGAGTGTGTGGCTGTGGACACATTTATGAATAACAGAGAGACGAAATGACCAGGAAGAAAAGTAATCATTACGACGTCTATCAAAGTACATCGCGCGGCACGATTTCTCGGCTAATGTTTCTCTGGATTAATTAACGTTATATTCGAGCACGACAACGGCGTTACTGTAGCGTTAATGATAAAAGAGAGAGACTAATTTTTAATTTAACGTAAATGTTAGTGTCGACGTGCTGTTTTACTGTGTACGATTATTTTTAAACGCGGCCGTTTGTGCGCCCGTTGACAATAGAGCCAGAGGTGGCGATTACAATAAAAACTGTAAGATATATATTTTTACACACATTTTTGGTGATATTGCTGCACATCAATTTCAGAGACTCATATAGGTATATTTACGGGACATAAGCAACCTCTAGGGTATAATATCCGAGGTATTCTACTTGGGGGTATAGTCAGACTACTAGTCTCTTGGGGATATAAATAAGAAGACATACGTAAATCACATATTCAAATCGCACTCTCCCATTTATCAGAAATGAGAAATCGTAATACACACCATTGCAACTCAAGCGCTACAATCACTCGAGCAAATCACCGATCCAGTGAGAAATGACAATGGAATCGACATCAAATCGATGTTGATTCGACGTCGAAATCATCAAATTCGATGTTGATTCGACATCGATTTCATTGTCATTTCTCACTGGGTAGGGACGTCGAAAACTTTTCGAATCAAGATGTCAGGTGTTTCTTGAAAACTTTTTAGTGTGCAACTCTCCATACACAATCGGAAAACATAAAGTTTCTCCACATCGAACGTCCGACAAAAACATTTTCTACAAAATAAATGCAGATGGTGAATAAAGAGTCAATAAAGTTTAGACATTTCAGATATTTGGAAATCAAAAAAAGAAGAAAAAAAAAATATGTTGTTACGTACTCATATTAATTTTATATCATGACTTTAGTAATTATATAGAGATATATTATATATACTTCATAAATCAATCAATAATATTTGTTGCGCTATGCAATGTGCTTTATTAATATCATTTACTTAAGTTACGTACATAATATTATAATAACGCGATTAATTCCCAATATAAATTGCCCGATATATACGCTGCTTAATACATGTAATTGTTCATTGGCGTTCATTTAAATGCATAAGATACTTAGCGGATCATATCACTTGCAAAAATTGGAGCAATATGTGCAATATCGATAACAGAGGAATCGGTATCTCTATATCAAAGCAAGAGACGAATAATCTTGTTTCGAGATACGTAGCGATCACATAGCGTATAAAGCGATTTCTGAAAAGAAGATTGCGTTTTCTGTTCGAGAGGACATGTACTATATGACGCATGTACATACGAATTCGCAATAGTGATAGACCGAGATAGACTTAAAGCACAGCGTGGAAATGCTCGTAAACAAAACGTATTAGCGGGATGCTAGATGCGCAGTTCATAATAGAAAACTCATAAATTGGATTATACGCGCGTCCATGCGCCAGTTGTCCTCGGCATAGAATACGCGATATGCCGCATCGTTAGAATCACGCCATTGTCTGTGCTAGTTGTATCGTTTCATCGTGTACCCTGGCGTAAGCTCTTGCTGCTCATTGTACGTTTAACGCCGTTATTGACATTCGGGAAGAGCGGATGAAGCGTAAAGTCCAGAGAGTACAGCGAAATGTATTACGGATCGTCATTGAAGTTTCGATTCGCGTCAACAAATGGTTTACCGTATCAAAGCTTGCTAAACCGATAATTTCCTGATCCCTTAATTCGCATCGGTTGATTTATTAAATTCGGAAACTCTACTCGGAAAGAACAATTTTGAGGATAACTTTATTGGACCACTAAAATAATTATGTGGGACGTTCAAGCTGGTTGCTAGAATGTTGAAATTTTATGCAGCATTGCTTATCATACTCGAGATTCTTACGTAATTATTTTGATGGCCTAATAAAATTATTTTCTAATCTGTATTTTATAGTTTAATTTTTAAGTACTTCAACAAAGTTGTTCATCTTCATTTTTTAAGGACACATATAAAACTTACCATGCATCTGATAAAATGCCGTGATGCCAACGCGATCTGCATCGTCGAAGGAAACCGGGCCCTATAAACACAATGACAATAAATATGAATGTATGATAGTACAATTAAAATGACGGGGTGTCATAAAATGTAAAGGACAATTACGTTTTATTATTGAAAAGTGAATCGAATTACGTATTCATTGTAAGTCAGTTATAAATAAATTAACCACATCGTGATACTGATATTCATGTCAATTATAAAGAATCTCTTCTAAAAATTCATCGCTTTTAAAGAAAAAGAAAGCTATAACAGTCACTAATCTTGATTTTAAATTTAGTCCGTTCTTCAGCTTAACGTTCGTTAAAAGTTCTTCATCTTCGATTATTATTGAAACTTTAAAAATCGCTTGATATTATGAGAAACTTCCCAAGTAGCAAAGTTTGTCACTTTGACGTCATATTTTGGGCCTTTACTGACCAATACTGACGTCTTAATGAAGTCAAATTGACGTTCGAATGTCACAGACGATTGACGCCATCGTGGGCCGTCATTTTGACGTTATATTTTGGACCTTTACTGACCATTATACTATCCAACTGGCGACTTATGACGTCAATATGACATCACGGAATAGCTTTACGAAAATGACGTCAGTATGCCGTCACGGAATGCCTTCTAATAAAAACATATAGTCACTTTTTGATCGCTCGACGTCATTTGTACAAACATGACTTGAATTTAACGTCAAAATGGCGAACTTTGCTACCTGGGTTAGCACCGAGTTAATAAATGAAGATCTACAAATAAAAGGACGTAGAATGTCTCGTATATACGGACTTGTGTGAGGCAATTTTGCTCACTTTCCCATTTCGGGACGGTTTCTTCAAGTTTCATGAACGTTCAAACATACGTAATAAACGGCCTCTCTTTCCATGTTTTATTTATTCTTCGGCTGTCCGGACTCACCGAAACTCCGATAAAGCGCAGATCCTTAAGCTGCTCCAATAAAAGCTTGGCGAGATCCTTCCTCGTGTGAGCGTACTGCGCCATACTCTCGTTCCGTCGATTTAGAAGGACTTCAGTTTTGGCGAGGGCGACTGCCATGGCCCATACGGCATCATAGGTTTGACCCGCGAATTTCGAGTGTACGACGCCTGTATTATTCAGCTCCGAAATAAATTTCTTGCTGGTCTGCAAAATGAATGGGATCGACGCATAAAGCGTTGTCGGACGGCTCGCAAAACATTTCGCGCAGTCGTATAATTAAAAAAGAAAAAGTGGAAGAGACGGAACGTTTGAATCGACTGACGAGCGAGCGTTAATTTAATTTGTCGTTCGCGTCAACAACGCGTGTATTCCATTCGAAAAAAAGCGCGTTGCAAAAAAATATGCGTAAAGAAAAAAAATATGTTGTCGGTCGTTAATTTAAAATTTCGATAATATCGATATCTACAGGATACTTACACAAAGAGGAAGAACGAAAGAATTTTAATTTTTAATAATGTTATCTTTATTTGAAGCGACGAAGCGCATCGTAAGCTGGATTAGTGAGAATGTCGCAGTACGATATTCATCGGAATAAATTTGCGTAGCAAGTAACGAGGATAGCGAAAACTCTTATTCGTCGAACTTGCCGCAGCAAATCTGATTAAACGACTACAAATCACATTTTATTATAGATTAGCACACAGTAAGCACTCTTGAGCTTTACTGTATGCCGCATTAAACTTACTAGAAACCAGGCGAATTACTATTTCGATAATATCAGCTGAAATGTCACATGGTGTGTTCTTACATTCATAATTTTACGTTTAGAAGTTTGAGAATTGCGCACTGAAAGAGAAAATAGTACGTCGAATCTTTCCCTTTACGTTCCGCATACTCGAGATATTTTTCCAGTGGTTTGACTTTCGGATCGCATATCTCCTTTTAGCTCGTATAGGCTGAAAAATTAGAACGATTTATTCTTGAAAGAATGTTAAACTTATAATTCTTTTTATACGTTACTGACTAATGTCGAATATATTAGAACATCATATTGAACACACAATTTATATATTATTATTAATGATACTTTTAATTAGATTACGTGGACTCAAATATATATTTCGCATTGCACTTTGAACTTTTCACCGATTTAAATGTAGTTTACCCATGACTATTTCTAGATTGAGGGCACAGAATAAACAAGTGAATGGTTGGATTAAATGATTCAAATAATAGAGGACTATAATATATCGACCGCGTATTTTTAATGATAATTTTTGTATTTTTCGTAAAATTGCGTTTAATATAATTAATATTATAATAAATGTTGAGACAGTAGATATGAATTTCAAAAGGAAAGGAGTTTTATTTTAATAATCAAACATTTTGCTAAATATTTTTCGGAGATAGATGATCTTATATTCATTTTAAAAGTGCTACAGTCTTAGCTTTTCAATAAGACCAAGAATATCTTGTTACAATTTTTCTACACAAAGGCATTAATAATTATACATCGACTTATGATTTTGATATAACGAAAATAGCGAATTTTTCACTAAATATATTGTGTTTCAAAGCACTTGTATCACACATGTTTTCTCATCTGTTTGTTTTTAGAAACGTGTTTGTATACTTATTAATTACATTTTTAAAAAACGTGCAGCGTTCTTTCATAATAAGAATAAACTTCCTGATGGTAAAAAGTTTTTATTGTGATGTCTGTTTACCAAAAAGATACACTTCCTCAAATATGCTTATTTAGCGTCATAAAAATTATTACTGCACATAAAAAATCGTTTTTTTTTTATCACTCGGTCGTGTGGAGAAATTACTCCGATACGCTGCGAAATTATTCATGTTGATATCGCGGGAGGAAACGTGTCCCAGAAAGTTCTCGGGACAGATATCTATATTGGAAGCGTGTTCGGGGAAGACGTCGGTCGGATGTGAAAAGTGCGATGTGTATAATCCACATACGGCTATTTTTGCGATTTGTTATTTTCGAGAGTGCTCAAAATCGACGATGACTTTTGACACGAATGTCGATTGCGGCGGTTCGTCGGTCGTCATTAGGCTGATTACTCGTTTCTAAAAGGTGTGAAAAAAACGACCTCTAGTCAATTTTTTTTTCACTTTGACGTTTTATTACGCGAGCCTTTAATGGAACAGAATGGAAGGCACGTCTATAGCAGGGCAAGACCTCCAGCTTTCTTCGTTGCATACTCTAATTTCCGCTCGTGGGACTTCATTTATTAAGCGCTAGGGGTTGTAGCAGCAACCAACTAGGCGTTATTATTGCAACGGCCCTGCGACTAAGCTTTCTCACATCTTCGCCTTCGCCTTTATGGTACGCGGAATTCTGCAATTATCGCTGCCGTTAACAGTAACGGTGTGGAACGATCGTTATCTATTTTTCTTTTATCAAATTTGTTGCCTCATAAACGCAGAATGCTGTAAATGTAATTGTCGTTGAGGACAAAACTTGTCGAGGAATACGTATATAAATCAAAGGAAGCAATTGGAAACTTGGAAAATCGTATAATATATTGTTGAAATTAGTTTACGACAATATTGACAATCCAATTTAATGCAGTTTATTTATTGGCTGTTAGGGGAGAAAATTGTATAGACGGTTAAATCGTACTTCCATTAATTTCTTAATAAAATATTTTCTTTTAAGTAACTACACAGAAGTGACGCCAGTATTGCTTTAGTACTGTCAACTTTGTTTTGTCTTCGAGTCATTCATTTACGAGTGATAATCAAAACTAATTTTGTTTGGTGTTTGATATAAGTTTTCGTGAGGTCTATCTAAGGCAGGTCTGTCCAATTTTAGCTCCTGAGCCAAAACGCAAAGCCATTGACGCAAAAAATTCAATGTAAATAAGTTTTCGGAGATTGCAAAATGTTGATAGGCGCTCAGACATGTATCAGCACTTTACAGTCCACGAAATTTTTCCACATTTATTTTTTTTTGCATCGATGGCTTTGCGTTTTAGCTCCGGAACTAAAATCGGCCAAGCCTGATCTAAGATGTAATTAGCACAAAACAAGTAATTGAAAGCTTAGTAAACTACAGGGTTATAATTAATATTTAAACTCTTTTTGAATACAGCATCAAATTAGCAAAATATTTTTGGGTTATGTTATCGTTTTTGTCAAAACGTAGAGAGAATTGGGTAAATCGTACTCTTTATATTGTACTTACATTTAAGAGAAAATAACACGTTAAAATTGAGTAGTTGAATAATATTTTATAATTGTTATTATAATTTAATTTTTTATATAAAAAAAGGTTTATTTATATTGAGTCTTTCTGAGGTAAAAACTTATTAAAAATTATTCATAGATATTGTCAGGTTTTGAGAAAATTGAGGCCTTCTTTTGTAAAAATTTATAATTGTTTATCTTAGAAGTGCGATTTAGAAACCCAATAGTACAATTTAAAGACTCGATCTCTAATTTTGTAAAAAAATTTACTCTTTTCTAAAAGAAATGTGATTTATAAACAAATTCAAGTAAAGAAATATACAAAATTTATAGACTCCTTAAATTAATATTATAAATAAATTAATTTAAATATGATTTAAATAATACTTTAATCTTTATTTTTGTAAAAATGATGTTTTTTTTATATGACCAAAAAAAATAAACCAAAGATTGAAATATAAGGAAAGAAATATTCTAATCTCTTGCGACTTTTCCCCTTGTTATAATAAGAAAGATGTAAACGGGCAGAAATAACATACCAGTCCCGAGGCGCTGGTCTCATTTCCTACGACCGTGGCGTGGCTCTTGACGATGATTAAACCATCCAGAGTCTGTGACAGCTGAGAAGGCGAACACTCTCCAACGCCGACATTCCACCAATTGCCCGTTATCCCTAAGGAGTCGATGGTTTCACCTGGCAAAATCCACGCGTAATCGCCGCCGTGCATCCCGAGTTTCCAGGCCTGCAACGAAGGGAAGACGTAGATTATGAAAGATTCGTTTCAATCGCAATTCTTGAGTAAACTCCTGTGATGTTTGCTATTTATCACGATACAGATAGTAAATATGCCGGAACTCGGGCGTGAGATTAAACACGGAGCTGCAAAAGAACATTGTCTCGGTTCAACGTGTTTGCGCGAATAATAGGCACGAACGCACAATGCATTGCGATAGCGATGCCGCATTATCGGGATCGATGACTGACATGATTGCATCGTCAAGGCAGCCCTGAACGACGCGACGTGATATACGCGACGGGTTGCGAATGTATTCGTTTCGCTTATCGATCGGTTTACTTCTCTGATTTGTCGAAGGACAGGAGCTTATGGGATTACGTTCGTAATCGCGTTCGGTCAAATCTTAAAATCTCAACCACAAGATTGGATAAGTTTTTTTTTAAACTATATTAAGTTAAAGTTAATGGCTTATAAAAGTTGAATGAACAAAAGCTAACTCAATTAAAGTCACGTTAAACTTCAATTAATTCAAGTTAAATAAAAAGTTAATTTTGCAAAACATAATTTTTATTAAATAGGGGTAGCGAGCATGTAACTTTTTCTTTAAAGCGGAAACGTGAAAATTTTTATGTACATGTGTTTATGTACATATACACACATACATACAAAAAATGTTTTCACATTTCCATCTTAAGAAAATTAAAAGTTACATCATCGCTTATACCTAGAATATTCTAATTTTTATTAAAATCAGATTACTTTAAATAACAAAACAATTGCAATATAGATCACCAGATTAACTGAATACTTTATTTGTAAATTATATAGAATGATAAAGATATTTTTTGCACAATAAAAATCTGATTTTTAGTATTGTTAGGTAGATATTTTCATATTTTGAAATTCATATTATAAAAGAAAAATAAAATGTAATTTTAAAAAATGTAAGTAATCTTGTATTCCTCGTGCCAGCCATGCCTGCACGTTCTTGAAAAATTAGGTGTAAATAAAAAATTTTTTATTCTTTTTTTATCGCTTATTAGAGATAAAATAAGAATGGCATAACGCAATAGCACTAATAGCGTTCTCTAAATATAACTCCAACCTATGTACATCTTTGTGCGGCGCCCTTTACACAAATATCGAGTTTTTTTAAAACTAATTTTCTAATATTCAAGATTTTATAAGAAATATTATTGATATTTAAAGAAAAGAAAAACTTTAACTTAAAAAGAAAAAAGTTAATAAATTAAAGTTTAAAAGTAACTTAAATAAGTTAAAAATTAATTAATTTGAAATGAATTAAATCAACTTATTAAAAGATATTAACTTTTTAATTTTTTATTTAACTTTTAACTTATTAAAATAGTTACTCAATCTTGCTCAACCGTGATGAGGTCTTCATTGGGAAGTCGCGACGGTGATCGCAGAGTCGAGTCAGAAGAAATTATTTATGACGATCGCGTAACGAGGCTGTTTCGTGTAATGAAAGAAGATGAGGGTAAAAGGATTGTTCGCGAATATAGAATATATCCTGTTATGTATCTTCTTCATCTTCTTGTTATCTTTGCTATTGATTATCCCTCTTATCATAATTTCGTCTTCCGCTCTGGAATTCTGTTTCCGCTCTTTTAGTTTTATCAGCTTTGCCAGATGTGGTACTTTGAGCACTGTAATATCTGCCTAAGACATTTTGTACCATGTTCTCTGGTCAAATTAGCGGATGAAGTAGGTCGTCGTTATAAAATTGTACTTTGAGAACACTTCGTGGCCTTTCGGTACTTTCATGCTCTCTGAGATATAATCAATTAATTTTTTCCGAGAGAGATGAGATTATAATAAGTTTGTAAACGCGAAATAAATGTATGCTACAAACATAACCATGATTTATGTAACATTCATTATGCCATTTGAAAAAATTTAACAGTAAAGTTTTTATTTAAATTTGAATAATTAGTTACGCTTAATTTCTTAATAATTTTAATATACAACAATCGAATCCGTTTTGAATTATATCTACATGTATAATTTAAAAACTTTTCGTTAAACTCTTTAAATAATCTTTCCATTAAAAAAAGTTTTTGATCATTGGCATTTTGTTTAATGTTTTAATTACTGATATTTCATTTATTAAATAATAAATGAAATAACAGAAATCGTATAAAATACCGTACAAATTTATCTGTAAAATTTAAATATGAGGTAAATATTATGAAATATCAATTAAAATATTCCATTTGATCACTGTATCTTGTATTTGTATAAAGAATTATAAATTCTGGCATCATCTGAAACCATATGTTTACTGTAATATAAAAACATATATTATTTTTGCTAGTAGTATTATACGCAGGTATTTTGTTGCGGGAAAATGATACACACGTTATACAAGAACACGGTATGCCAAGATTGTCAAGAGTAAAGAGCGTATCAGTTCTTAGAAACTCTGAGAGGAAACGTCTGGAAAGTATCGAGCATTCTCGTAAATCAGGTTGCCACGTTTCTTTACAAGCACAACGGCTAGTGCACTAAAAGTAGTAATAAAAAGTTGTTACCCAGTGTACAAAAGGCTATGGTAGCACAGTTAATGGCTGGAATTATTTGTGGTCCAGCACAGAGACCCGAAGGTGGGAAGAGTAGTGGCACGTTCCCGCTTTACTCAACGTACGGCTTTTCGATAACGTTAATACAGGTGATCTTTGCGACGGAAGGAGATTGGGAACTTATACATGCTCATTAAAAAATATTGAACGACGAATTGAGGTTTTTATCCCCTTGCCTTTTATGCAATTCTCCTCACGGCGAACGTTCCACTGGTTCCTGGTAATTGAACGAGCATAATCCGAGTTCTTAATTTAACCGCATCAGTTATTCAGTGACAGAGCGCCTAGCGGATGATGGCACGTGCAGAGATATACTCTTCCTCGAAATGATCGATTCTTCCACGTGTGCGTCAACGTCGCGATTTAGATTTATATTATTATCCATTAATTTCTGAGGCAACTTGTCACTCAATACAGAATAATAGAGATTTGCGGTCCGGTCGTAATTCGACATGCTCGCTGCATTGCCACCGGCTTTATCCTATTCTCCATGATTGATCAATAGATTGAAGATTTGTCCGTTTCATCGGAAAATCGTGCGTTCGTTATGTACGCGTCATCAGCGAATATCGGGCGGGAGGCGTAAAAAAAAAGAGAAATTAAAATCGTGCTTGTGGAACGTTCATATATTGTTTCAGGAGAAAATTCTCGTAAAAAAAAATTACCGGACACGCAGTACGCTTATATGTAACGGTTGCGTTATTTTTCTGTAAAAGAGCATTTTTTTTTTTATTATATACGATCAACTGGCCATTGTATTATCATAAAAGATTTATAGTAAAGGTTGCACATTTCATACAAATTTTATGTTTCATGCAGCTGTTGCATTATTGCATTTATGGGAGAATCAATAATTATGACTTAAATAAGGTATTTAATATATTATTATTATATAGTATATCGATATAATATATACTTACATAATGCGATTCATTAAATAAATGCTGTGTAACCACTGAGAGAAAGTATCATAATTACTTTAAAATTATAAATTGTGGCTACATATATTATAAATGTACAAAGATATACGGGTAAATTCAAAAACAAGATTTCAAGTTTTATGTACACTTTTAACTGTTACAAGAAAATATAAGAAAATATCAGACGGGGTATTGGTACTTTTTTTTTTTAATTAAGGGTAATCACATTTGACATATAAATCCGCTGCTGCACAATGACCATGTCTACAACGATCTATAAGAGCACAAAGGAGCAACCTTTGGTCCGTTTAAAATGATTTTATCGATCGGTGTGCGCCCTTATAGAAATTTAATATTAGTACTGGCCAGTTAATCATTTATTTTGAGTATAATATTAAAAGTACTGTGAATAGTATTTTTGGTTAGAATTAATATTAAATTTCTATAAAGACGATATATTGATCTTTTTCGTATTATATTATTTTTTTCCTCATTTTATTGTATTCTGCTGCGTGTCGATGGAATGTGTGAAAGAAACGGACAATACCTGTCCCTCTAGTAAACGGTGCAAGCACGATCTACGAGTATTAAACGTCATGAAAACGTAACGACCGGTTGAACGATCGGTTGAAGGAAAGCATGGTTCGATACCAGTCTAATGGTCGTTCCATGAATGGTGACTACCGGCATTATTGAATCGCCAGTATGTTCGTCCAAGATGTCATCCCTTTACGAAGGTTGTCTCTTGCATATCCAGAAATTTATTTTCACGCGTCATTTACGTAATTGACCCACATTGAGGAATATTCAGAATCATGTCCAGGAATCTCCAGGGAAACACGTGCGACACATCGATCGCAGATATGAATATCCTTAATGCGATATTAACATTGGATGTCTCGTAATTTTGACGTGCCAATAAGGGTGGTACAAGGAATACTCATATAATTTGAAATCGACCCTGTACACGACGGTGGAAATTTTACGTGCGATCATGACAGGTGAAGAGAAATATGTACGTGTGGACGTTTAAAGGTGTCATGCGTTTCATGTAAGATGTCATGTATGTTACGTGTTGGCTCGAGTTAACTTGTAAGGCAAACCGATACATACACTTCAATGCAAACGTGCCATACCGGACACTGACGTGGGCACACACGATCGTATTGTAACACAATGGCCTGTCCTTCGGCTGCGTACAACAGAGAGTATGTGATGTCTGCTAAATGAGAATGAGAGTCTCCGTGACTTACAATAACGCAAGCGAGAATATTTATATATGCATTAGCCAAATCATTTTAAATGGAATATCTCGCGATTTTGAATTAATGAGATGAAAACGTATCTCATTTTTTTTATGGACAAACATACTTTATATTTTAATTTCGAAATCGTGTAAGTTATAATTTCATATATATTCGGTACAATTAAAAAAATTAATTTATTTAAAAAATTAATTTTTCAAATATTTTTTGCTTTTCTAAATAACGCTTTTTTATCGGGAGAGAATAATGCTGTTAAAAATAATGCCTATATCATCGTTAAAATGGGTGAAAAGTTTCGAATTTTTCGAAATATATGAATTAATTTTGCACAGCTGTGAAAACATTGTGTGCGTACCTGTGAAATGAACCGTAAAATTCTGGAGCACTAAACAGCACGATTTAAAGCATCACGCGCAAACGGGTTGGCAAAGGAAGAGAGATAGAATGGGGAAAATGGGGAGACTTATTGCAACCTTGGTAATTTGTGGCAAGGATACGAGTAGCACGTATATTCCGGAACGCAACGAACCGACTGCAATTTCAACTCGATGCTTACAGTGATGTATATGTAGAAATAGGATAACCAGAAATTTAATATGAAAACGATACAGTACGCTGGCTATCTCCCCCGAAGATATTTTGCTAATGAAATTTGTATTATTCTCTTCACTTTTTACGTCTATACGGTCTAAATTAACCCCACAAAATAGCAATTACGCGTTCGTGATGGAAATAGAGTGAGAATAGAAGTTATTTATTGATATTGAAGGAGGATTCAACGAGGGACGACAGAAAATGCCTGATATAAAGTATTTATTAATGTTGTTTTATATCTGGCATTTTCTGCTATCCGAATCACTTTACTTGTAACAAAAAGATTTATCAGTAGGACTGGTTTTATATCAGACATATTTCTTTCCTTCAGTTTCCTATTTTTTCACAGAAACAGAATGCCGATGCGTTACGTATGATATAGTTTTATTTTACGAGTTTTTGCCATTAATTTCTTAATCAACTTTCGTGTTGAAAACTGAAACAAATTGTCGCCGTTCTGTTATGTATTTCCGACGAGATTTGTAACTGCGCCGAGTTGCACATTATATAAACAAGAAATTGTAATTATAAAGAGCCCGCAAGAAGCGGTTATTATGTACAACACAAAGAATCGTGCTCGTCTATGAAACTTCCACCATTTCCTTAATGCTTGCTAAGTAGTGATAGCAACTTTACGGAATTCTTATTCGCCCTACTAAAGTTAAAACAATCTCTTAGTGTTCCATATTTCGTATTTATACAGCATTTACACTTTTCGCAATTTAATAACAACTTAACACGAACGTATATATACATATACATAGAATAATTATTTCAAAGTTTTTATACGCAGAATGCAATATCTACTAATTGTTAACATTGATTTTCTTTATGAAAAACTTGGATGACGATTTCGATATGGATTATATAGCGTGACTAAATGCTAAAATGCAAGGGTTTTCTCTCAATTGATAATATAAATCCATTCGTTTGCTTACGTATATTCCAGTATCTAATCTGCATGTTCATCAGTTCATCACTATGCGAGCTTGATGTGTACTTCAAAATTCGCACAACAAACAAGACTCCGAAAGCTTCTGCGGTCGGTTCGGCCTCAAATTACAAAGGGAGAGTGTAAACTTCGTGTCCTACTTTGGTATCACGTGCTTGTGCTTATGCGGTATTACGGACTTGATGAATATTTGTCTGATTGTCTGATATGTTTGATATTTTCCTTCTGTTTATATATGTAATAGCAAAGTTAATTGATACTAGAATCACGAGTTTAAATTAACCCAATCGTGATTCGAGATAAATCTAGCTTTTTGCGAGGGAGGGTTGTTACCATAAAAATAAAATTGCTTGTAGTTAATCATAGTTATTCATAAAAAGTCATAAACATTTAAAATTCCACGTACAAATCCAAATTAACTAAAAAAGAACTATCAGATGAGTAAAAAATGGCACAACTGTGGTTCTAGTGTCAATTTAACAAGCAATAGGAAAAAGAATTGCTATATTACGTAGTAATATGGGGACATGCGCGGTATATACTCTCTAAAACTTTTACAGCGAATCTCACTCTGAAGAATGAAATGTCACTCTTAAAAATAAAAAATTGAGCTACTCTTTTCCCAAACTGGCTCCATTTTCACTCTTAAGCGTGAGATTCCACTCCAAAGAATTTGGAGAGTATTCATATAAAAGTTAAGAAACTCGGCTCGATGATTTATATGCGTACACGGAAAAAAAGATCAGCTGCCACAGCTAAAAATTAGGTTTGGCAGCTAATTCAGTAACATTATATGAACACCTAACGTCGTGACTACGAGGTCTAATTTCCATTAACTGTGAGGCTTAAATATTATTATTGTGACAAGTAAGCATTTTGCTATTATGTCGATGTATTGATCATTGCAGCAAACGTTTTCTGTGTAGCAGACAGTTTGGTAGGAAGTACAGTTTCAGCAAACCATATTTAGCTGTGGTAGAGACAATTTTCTTTTACACAGACATATCCGATAACTATGACAACTAACTTCATGTTGCTAAATAAATTGATCTGTAACAGACACACATACTTTGCTATTACGTCCTTATATTAGCTACAGCAGCAAATCCTCTGTATGTATTAGCAAATTTCATAGCTATAGTAGCTAATGCAATTTCAGCTAATCAGAACTAGCTGTAGCTAGCAACATTTTTTTCCCGTGTATAGAGCCTCGTTGAAAATTTTATAACGTCATGGAATGTAAAAACGTTTCGGACTTTTTTCATCTCAGTTTTGTAAGCGTTTGTGAAGAAATATCACTATTGCACCGCTTCTATGTTCAAACGCTCGTAAAATCCGAAAACACTGCAAGGGATTGGCAGAATGCTTTCCTCTTGTGAAATTCGAAAGGTACTGTTGATTTACTATATATATCGGTAGAAGTGAGTATGAGAACGAGTCCTTATCATCAAGTAGACATAATAAAATTTGATTTGTGTATAATAATTGTACGTTACTTTTCCATAAAATATATTGTGCTGTTTTTATAATACTTGACATGAAAGCATTTCCAATTTCCGCGTTCAATAACGCGCTGAATAATCAAACGAGTCCGAGTGGACATGTGTATTTATCTCTTACGGTTTGTCAGATTGTGTAATTTAAATGTCAGTACATCGTTATCAGATTTTAAGAGAATTTCATTTGGGAGCAGTAGAACGTATTTTGAAAAAGGATTTTATTCTATATGTATCTTTAGCAACAGGAATTGTAAAAGAGATACAGAAGATAACGTTGCTACGAGATAATTAATCGAGATAATTGGTAATGACATTTAAAAGTATGAGCGCTGTGAAAGTTAAACTTTTAAACGAATTTTACAGTCGTGGAGCATGCAAAAAAACGCATGAATTTCTTACAAATAAAATGAAACCAGGGTTTATCTGTTTACGTTCTCTCGCGTTTCTTCTACTTTGGCAAAAACTGCCACTGTTCTAAACTCGAACCGGCAAACGTGGAACAACCACAAAATTGTTTCTTCTTGTTAGCAAGGGTTTTCAACTGAACCGATGAGAGTTTCAAAAATGAATGAGTAGTCGAAACGGCGACCTAACTTTGTTGAAATTACACGGAGTGTAATGGGAGTTATTAAAAGCGTCATTAATTAGTCCGTAAGGATGTGGTCGTAGCCGTTCTTTATCACGACGGTGGGTACTCGCGAAAAATGGCTGCAAGTTTTATCCCCCTTATTTGAACAAAGCTTATTTTATGGTAATTACGAAAATGTCTAAAAATAATTTCTCATTGAGATTTAAATTTGCTTTTTCTCGCAACTCACCTCACAGAAGACACGTTGCGCCAATCGCGGCGAAAAACTTCCAATAATGATCCTAGTGTCCAATTCCTGGAATGGCGATACGTGTATCTTTTATTAAAAAAGGTTTCAGTTTCCATTTGACGAAGCATCACTAACACATAAAATGCGATAAATGATACTAATGAAGCAAAAGAGATAGTGATGATTACGAGTTGAAAATTTTATCGCGTCGCAATTTCATGTTAATCTAGATTTAATTTTCACACCGAGCTTTTTGCTAAATGTTAACAAACGACGTTTTCCCAGTTATCTTTAAGGCACGTCCGAATCGTCATTTGACCAGATATTGAGTTAATTCGCACACATTGTACGCTGCAAGTGTAATCCCAATGTGTCTATATTGCGCTTCCAATCGATACCTTGACATTTATTTCACGAAAACGGACTTCGAATTTCAAAGCAAGCGAATTACATGAAAAACGAAAGATTCTCGCACCATCAAGTGAACTTGGCTGATTCATCGAATTGATCAGCTCGATCTAATTGCACAAAATGATCGCTACAAGATCTCGTAAAGACGGACGAACACTCTAAATTTCTTACAGTGAAATCTCACTCCAAGAGAATGAAAATGCAACCACCCTTAAAAAAAAGTGAAAATATTTCACTTCTTAAAAAAAGTAACGATCTTCTTTTTTTAGAATGAAATCTCACTTTCTTTGGAGTGAGATTTCACTCCTTTGAAGTGAAAATTCACTCTAAAAAGAGTGAAAATTGTCACTCTTTTTCAAGAAGTGAAATATTTTCATTTTTTTTTCAAGGGTGATTGTATTTTTACTTTCTTGGAGTGAGACTTCACTAAAAGAAATTTAGAATAAAGGTGAGAAAACAGGTTGACATTTAAGCGCGACGTTTTACCTTTAAGGTCCGTAGCTGCTCCTTGTAATCGTTCTCGGCGAATGTGATAGTTGCGGTGCACGTGATATTCGCCTGCTCCAGTTCCGTGACCAGATCATTCACTGCCTGGAACAGAGACGCGTCATACGTGCGACGTGTGGAAGTGCGCACTGGGGAGCCAAGCGTAGCGGCGGCAGCGAGAAATGGCAATGTGCCGTTCGTTTGTCTCCCGTTCTATTTGCGCAAAACAAGAATCGCGTATGTCACCCTTACAAATACGCGTCGTACGTCATGGTGATGCGACAGAAGTTCCGTTATCCGAAAAGGATTGCCTCCGCGCCGCGTAGTTACGTTCGTTCCGCGGCCGGTTTCTTCTCGGCATGCTCGTCGTTCACGTAATTTTATTGGTAACATTCACAATTCTCTTATCATTACAGCACATGCTTCACGATGGAGCGAGTCGCAGGAATACGGCGTTTCCCGAATCGCTCGTACGTGTGCGCGTTCGGATATGAGCGTTTATTTCGAAAGTGGTTTAAGCTAGTTTGGGAACAATATGAATTTTAACGAGACGCGGATGTAAACTGACACGTCGATTTCCGCAGAATTTCCGCAAACGCTTTTACATCAATTTCGAGATAGATGACATACGTTGCGCGCGCTTTATTAGAAATTTATCGAATCAAACTTCTTTCCAAAGAGGGAAACTCAGTTTTTAAATTGTGAATGAATATATCGGGGGAAAAAATACATACAGGGTGTCCTAAAACTGACGTTAAACATATTTTAAAGACAGATTCTTTGTGACATTTTAAGACGAAAAGTCTAATACGAAAATAACGAGGCTCTAATGATAGTTTTCAAATGGGTAGAGTTTAGGAATTATACTGACAGGACTAGAATTTCGCGCATTCAGGGATGGCCAGGGCGAAAATACTTCTTCAAACTCTTCATGCTTTTGACAATAACAAAATTCAGTACTTTTACTGCACTGACTTGTACCTAAGTGGATAAAATTCCTGTCATAAGTAATTTTTAAACGTTTTCTATTTAAAAATCATCATACCCTGGGCATTTTCACATTAGACCTTTTGTCTTATCACTGTTAAATTTTATAGTGTCAAATTAATGTAAGTCGCCACTGTCCCTACTCAATAATATCGTTATTTTTTACGAAAACAATGGTTATATTTGACACTATACAGTATCAATTTAACATTATATATATAGTGTCAAATTTAATTATCATTTTAGTAAAAAATAACGATATATTTAGTAGGAGCAGTGGCGACTCACATTAGGTTAAATTTGACACTATAGATTTAACAGTGTAAAATGTTAAAAAAAGAATCTATCTTTAAAATATTTATTGTTAATTTTGGGACATCCTCTATATAGGATAAAATGGGGTAATTTAGATGGATTAACAGAAAATTTTAAACTGTATAGAACAAGGTCGTATAGTGTATTCAATCAAACATACAAAACATACTATTTGATGCAATAATGTATATTTTGTATGTTCGATTGAATACACTGTGTAACTTCAATTTTTCATACGATTCGAAAATTTCTGTTAACCTATATCCAAATTACTTCGCTTTATCCTAACTTTTCTTACTCGCACAACAGTAAAAAGAATTATATTGCTACATAAATTGTTTATTGTTTTGCCCTGCTTGTTTCGAAATCCTGACACTCTGCGACGCCCTTGGGTCTATTCGTCACACGTATATTTCTAGACTATGTTAAAGCCGGATGTGACGTGTGGCAGCTTCCGTTACCAGTGTAGCGACGGAAATTGACCGAGAATTAACCGAAACGTGATACCGAACGCGCGGTGTTCTAGTTAACTACGCGTGAGTACAAATCGAAAGTTAATTAAAGCCGACATAACGGGAACTTCATTGTATAGCTCGCACGTCACGCCGGGCATAAACGAACTTCCGCGGTGTAGTTCGCAATTAAACACGCGGTTACGTAAAGCGAGACAGAGACAAATATAACGATGGAAAATGTCCTCGCGACCGTGTTATCGCACACATTCCCTCCGTATTTCGGATTCCACTTCATCTGATCTCGATATTACGGTAAAAGCAGTGATTGCAGGGAATATTGAATTTATAAGTGGATATTTTTTGGTGCAAATTTCAATCGCGAATAACGTCAACTGCAATTTGAATGCCATGCGTTCTTTATGAAGGAGCCGATTTCCAATCCATTATCAAACATAATTTTTCAAATAATCTCTGTGAATTTCGATAATGTTTCATACTCGCATTCATTTCATACTCCATTTATTCGAGAATGTGAAATTAGAAAATTGTATCATTTAAACAGGCCTGTAAATTCCACGCTTATATTCCTACGCTTATATTTTCGCATTAAGCATTATGCAATTTGTATGAAAAGAGCGACCCGAAATTTAGCTCATATTGTGGCTTTCGAATTTCAAATTGAACTGCATGCCAAACAATGTTGTATGGTAGAACTAATTAATCTTAGAAAAAAATTTTAATAAAATACTTTGAGTACAATTTCGAACAAAAATTGCATAACGCCCATCAATATTGCGATCAAATTATTTCCGGTGCGGACTATTAAATAAAGTGACAGGAAGTTTCTTCAATAAATTTGGAAAGTCGATTTGCGCGACGTTCGTGTTCCTTACGACCTACTTACCAAGGAGTACATGTCGCCTGTTTGCGAAAGCGCGGTGACGGTGTCCCATCCGAAGTGTTTGATCAATGCTATCCTAGCCGGATTGTGACTCGAATCCGGCGCAACGGTTCGCAGGAATAGGGGGAACTCGTTGGAATCTGAGAGTGCTGGTGCTGTCGAGCCAAATGACACCTGGATCACGTTCCAATAAGGAACAATTTTGGCCAGAGTCTCGGTGACTTCGGAACAAGCTGTGCCGAGCAGGAACGGCATCAAGTGTTTCTTCCTCGTTGAATACAAGGCGTGAAAGAATCTGTCCACAGCCACTCCAGAATCGCACTAAAAAGTAAAGGATCGTTGAAATTTCGATATGAAAATTTTAAACTCATCGCGTTATATAATATTCAATAACTTATTACATAGAAATGTCTCGAAATTAAAAAAGAAAGGATTCACCGTTGGAGCAATAAATAATGTAATAAAACTACATATTGTACGCTGAAAACAAATTTACTCAATCTTAATACATATTTCCTTCAATAATACTAACTCGACATATACAGGAAAATAAACATTAATTACAAAAAAAATTATTACTTAAATGAAATTAATGACTTTTATACCAAAAATATATTGATATACATGTGTAGTAAATATTAAAGTAGTAGTATTCAAATAAATATTTATTAAAATTTAGTACATTTTTTAAGTGTATTAATTATTAATTGTTAATAATATATTGTAAATTATATATTATGTGGAGTAAATTATATATTGATACTGAACACTTCTACGTTCAAATTGAATTCAAAACCTGTTAGAAACAGCTTGTAGAGTCAATGTCAACGAAATATTGATAACGACAAAGTTTGCCACTTGAACAAGATGATAGATTGCAAACGGTATGATTATCATACCGTTGCGAAAAAAGTGTCACACGTTGTTTGAGCTGCAAATGGTATTGTATCTCTAAAATAAGCGAGAAGAAGACCCAGCCCGTTATAACGGAATTACTCAAAACGAATGGAGATCGGAGCAAACTTGAATGCATGGAAAAAATCTCGAGGGTCTTCGTCTAGATGTAGGGCAGCAAGTTACGAGGAAGTAGGGACTTCCCGATCCAACTTTTACAACACGAGTACTATCTACTCCACGTCTTGTTACGATTTCATTGGATCTCGATGAGAGGACGCACTCGAAAGTCGAAACTCGACCAATCATCTTGGAAGAAGAAATTGGAGTCTCCATCTGCTGCCGTTCAACAACTTCGTTCGAGTAGCCGTTCTAAAAAATTATATTGGATACTGAGTCATACTGACCTGCATGTCTGTTATCGTTTGTTGTAATCAAAAAGTATATGGAAACATATCTATTTCATTGAAAGGACGACACTGAATGAATAAGATTTGTGATTTGGCCAAGCAAAATGGTGAAATCTTGAGAGAAGAAGAGAGAGTATGTGTGTGTGTTTCATAGTAGAAATTTGTTATTGTAAATTATGTACATGCCGAGCAAGTGTTCATCGTCTTCGTATCATGTTTTGAGAGCTATGACTGATATTCTGAATGCAACTACTAGCTTAATGAATGTGGTGTGACATACATATCCATGACTTCGCGACATTTCTGTTTACGAGGACAAACAACTCGTGTAAATTCTCATTCGACGCTGTGCACCGCAGCATCAGCTGAACTCTCAATCCGCCTGTTTCCACGAAAAGTAAATCAAATGATAAAAAATTAGCACTTATAATACGATTACAGAGCTCGAAACCTGTTGCGTATAAAGTATGGTCAGTATTATTCAACATTCGAGAGCGAATAAATGCAGATAATACGGATATTTTTTGCGATGAGAGAGGAGTCATATTTTTAATTTTTATATTTTTTATTTTTTATTTTTTTAAATATGTCATGTTACAAATTTGACAATAAATTGTAATTAATTTATAAGACAATATAATCTTGATTTTATGACTTGATATTCTGATTCAATTTAATTTTGTTGCAACATAATCTCTTGAGATTTTCATTGAATTGGTAAGTTTAAGATGTTACGCTGGCATGGAGAATAGTTGGTAGTAGTTTTCAAAGATTTAGAGCAACAAAATCGAGTTGAGTCAAATTATCAAGCAAGAAATAATTTATATATTCGATTCCATCGTTATACAGATTGATCACAATTTTAAAAGTAATACTTCTATTTTATTTGCGTTGCAGTGTGTATTAACAGTTAGGGTTGTCGATATCGAATAGAAAGATCCACTAAATGTATTTATTATCAATTAAAAAACTATTTATATTTAACCTGAATGAATAAGCATTATATTGAATATATGAATAATGAATATCGTCATAAATAGATTTTGTTTGGACTAATCAAATTCGATATATTCGATAATGCTTATTCATTTAGTAAATATATAAATAATTTTTGCATTGATGAATATATTCATAGTAAATATTTCTATTCGATATCGACTTATTAAGAATTAAGCGACCTTTAAACGCTCAATATTATTGTACAATTATTTCGTTTAATATTATTTTTACTATAATATTATAGTACCCCTTTGAAAAATACAAAACTTTCTAGATACTCAATATAGACGATAATATATAATGTACAATATCAAATATTGTGCAATAATATGATTGTCTAGAGACCGCTTTACACTTCAAGATCTCGTATCTTTTAGTGCCTCGAGTCCGTCGGAGGTGAATATTGCATTCTATTCTACGATGGATGATCGTCTTGGTCCGTCTATTTATCTTTTATTTCGTCGCTATAAAGATTTCAAAAGTGGTGCTCGAGGTTCGCTCGCTTTTACGTTGCCGCTATAGTTTTTCTGCTCGAAAAGTGCACTGAAGCGGCCGATGAGCTATTCCCGTCAGATGATTTATGCTTCGCAATCTCGCGCCTTTTATTCCGTCGGAAGTGATTATCGCGTGCTAATGAGGATTGAAAGTTTTGAACGGGTTCGAACGATTGCTTCGGAGCGTCTATTATTATATGTACGCAGAATATTCAGTATTACGAAATGCACCGCATTCAGCATATCGCGTGTCAGTCCGTAACATCCGTCGCTTGCCTGAAAACGCTTCATTTCCAGTTGTTTCCAGTTTTGATTGACGTAAAGATCAAATTGAAATTTTAAAAGAAGGAAGGGAAGTGATGTATTTTGTCTGCGACGCGACTTTCTTTTCCTTGAAAAGTGTTAAGATGTACTCGTAGTTAACGACAGTTTCGATACCGTCGTTGAATAGCTTTTTTACTATGTAACATAAAATCTACGCAATGATAATGTAACAACATCGATATACTGTCGTTAAAAGTTACAGGATAGGAGCTTCAATGCAGTAATTATGATTTTTACCAATGCTGCAATGTTGTACACTGAAAAAAAATTAGCTAAATCTGAGTAAATATTTCTTGAATAGTGCCACGTAAACATTTATTTAGAACAAATAAATATTTGCTCAATAAAATATAATGATACTTAAATCAAATTAATGGTTCTTGTATCAAATAAATATATGTTTACATTTAGTAAATATTTACTTGGCACTATTCAAGAAATATTTACTCAGATTTAGCTAATTTTTTTTTCAGTGTATAGACTAACTTTAATCTCGGTTCAACTTATTCTTCATCTTTTTCTAATTCTGAGGCCTGGGGTTCCACTAATGTAAAATTAATCTCGATTCAATTTAATGTTTATTTTTTTCTAATTCTTAAAATTAGGAAAAAATAGGAAGTTTAACCGAGATTAAAATTGGACTTACATTGGTGGAACCGAACTTTAGAATTAGAAAAAGATGGAGATTAAGGTCTCGGTTGAACCGAGATTAATCTATATTTGAAAATGGGCATTATACCTCGTTGCACGGGTGCGAATTCTTTTTACTTTTCGTGATTCCTCGTCTTTTTACCCGTTGAAAATGAATATCGTGAACGAACGAGTCGGGAATGTCGAATTGTGCAATAGTCGATTGCCCCACCCGTTTGCTATATATCTATACAGAAGGAAGGAAAGACATACCCGGAAGTTGAAAGAAATGAGGTGATGGCGACCCATCGGTCAATGAGTGAGTTACTTGTTGCATTCCGTTTATCACTTACCGCTCGACCTCGATTATGGCATTTATGTTTTTAAGTTGCAAAATATTCTTAATCCTCCATTCAGCTCAAGCTCTTTTTACTGTTCTAATATGAGCTTTCAAAAATGTGGAAAAATTTAGGGTTACCTTTCAGTATCTTTATTACATTACTAAACTCTTTATTACCTCACTAAATAGTTTTTAAACAATATTATAGGAAAGGAAATCGGACTTTACTTTCCATTTCGGAGAAATATGAATGAGATTTCATTTGTACCAAAAAAGATCCACTAACATATGGAGCATATTATGTTTATGGAATTTCTATATTCATAATATCATCGCGTTTTCTACACTGAAAGAAAAAATTGATTGCTGCAGCAAATTAGATGGTTAAATATGGCATAGCATTTTTAATTGGCTGCAGCAAGCAATTTTTGGTTGCCAATCGAAATTCTATACCGACATTGCGGATAGGCTAATACAACCAACAATTAGCTGCAGCAATTAAAAATTCGCTGTGACAACCAATTAAAAATGCTATGCCATATTTTACCATCTTATTTGCTGCAGCAGCCAATCTTTTCTTTCAGTGTACCAGGGGCTTGGACCGAAAAATTTCGATCCAAGGCTAAATCCAACTATTGGTTCTAGTTCTTTTACCGTAACGATTAACGGGATTGTTTGGATTTCAGTGCTTTTCGATCATGCGTGCAAGAACGATATCAGACATATTAACCAAATGTTTATTAAACTGGCACAGCCACTGTAGCACAATTGAATAAAACATACATATAAATTTAGTGCTTTTTTGTTACTAATTTGTTACCTTTTATTCGTAATTTTATTACTTTAGTCGCTAAAGCAATAAAATTGCAAATAAAATAACAAAAAAAAGCACTAAATTTATATGTATGTTTTATTGAATTGTACCGAAATGACTGTAATACACAAGTTTTCATTATTACTTCACAAAAGTATATTTATACATTTATGCGTTGAGTCTGTATTTTAAATAATGAGATAGAATTAAAGTCAAATAGAATTATTTTATTTGAAGTATCGAGCTTTAATTAAATACGAGAAATGTTATTCATTTCCTGATGATTGATATTGCATAAATACTGTCCTTACATCGATCATAATTCATCTCCGATAATTAAGATGTCAACTGTGTTTCACGCTACAATTGACACATACTCTGATTTTCGCATCAATTGTCAAATTAGTGATCCTGTT